AAATCCATGAAAATGTTATAATCTGCTAAGCCTCTCAGAGCTTTTAAAGACTCTGGTGTGCTGTGATAGCAGCTCAGTTTTAGGAAAATATGAGTGTGTTTCTGTAAACGTGGAGTGGGACAACTTGTGTACGTGTGTGTGTGTGTGTGTGTGTGTGTGTGTGTGTGTGTGTGTGTATATTTAACAGAACAAGTGAGACGAACTTGTGTGCTGCTGGCTTTTGGCATCATGAGAGTCCATCACTGGTCCAGCTGTTAATGTAATGACTTTCATTCACCAACAAAGCTGAATGAAGTGTGTGAGTGAGTACTATGGTGCGTAAGGTAGAGCTGAGGGTTTCTATATGAGAGGCAAACAACAGAGGGCATCACAGTAGCTTCTGTTAACAATATAGAACAGAGAGGTGTGAGTCTCAGGAAAGTCCTTTTCAGACTGGTGCGAGTCTTTGCCGGTCTGTCCTGAGAGTTTCTCGTCAGCTGATCATCCGATCTACCATTTAAGTGGCAGTTTACGTCAATGTTTGTCCAAAATGTCATCACTTCATCATTTTATCCCGTTAGACATTTGTGTGGAATTGTCATAATTAGCATATGTATTCTTAAGTTATGGGCAAAAACGTTTTATGAGGTCACAGTGATCTCGACCTTTGACTACCAAAATCAAATTAGTTCATTCTTGAGTTCAAGTGGACTTTAGAGACAAAGTTGAAGAAGGTTTTCTGAGGTTGCACAATAGGATTGCACAACCTGAAAAATATAATCCCTCCGGCAAGGACTGTCATCAACGCATAAACAAATCGGGCTTCAGGTTTCAAAATTTAAAAAAATAACTGACAGCCTGAAGGCAAACAACATGAAGAACACGTTACAAAGACAGCCGATAAAGCAATTAAAGCGGCAAACTTCTGCAAAACAGTTGTGCAATTTCGATGAAAAAGAAAGCAGACACTGAAGAAATACACCAATAAAAATATTTAGGTTCAAGCTAGTCTTCTCGGCACATGTAGTGGCGTGGTGTCTTCTGTGTTGTGCCCCCATCATATGTGTGTGTGTGTCTTGTCACGTTTATACTCACCAGTAAGGTGTTCCCACAAAGGAGTTGGCAGGTGAGGCAATGGAGGCAGAGCCGAAGTCAGCCAGTTTGACCTGACCCAGCTCCGTCAGCAGGATGTTACCAGCTTTCACATCTCTGGATGAGGAGAAGGGGGGGATGAAGACTGTGAGCGTATATAATCATGGCAGCCAAAGGATCTATAAATGCATTATGCTCTACCATCGGACTTGACAAAGTGGTCACTGGTGCAGTGTATTTATAGATGCGATATGTTTATTTCAATGAGCTTTATGTCTTTTTAAAGATTCTGAAATGAGGCCTGTGATGACACAGCACAATCAAAAATGATTCATGCAGCGCCATCGTTGGATGCTAATCATATTTTGACCGCCATAAAAGATGATACTGTGGACACCGGTGAGACAGGAGGGTTGTTTCCTCCTCACAGCGAAGGACGGACCCTACGTACAGAGATGAGGTTTTACAGCTTAATGAGTAAACGCTGCAATATAGGGAGAACATGAGCGTCTCTCGTCTCATCTTATCGCATGTCTTATCATGTTTTTGCTCAAGTCGTTTCATGTTCCTGATGGGAAATGTTTGGGGCCAGGAAACAAACTCACTTACCTGTGAATCATGTTATGGGAATGTAGGTAAGCCAGTCCTAGCAAGGCACCATGGGTAATGGCAGCAATTTCCATCTCTTGCAGTGGTTTCTTGTGAACTTGGGGAGAAATTGGTACAGAGGAGATCAGTAGGAGCCCTCTAAAGACTTGAATTATGTAATAATGAACTGTAAAAGTTCTCCACAAATACCGTCATAATGATACATTTGCATAAAGTTATGAAGTGCAAACCCAAAACATCATAGTTTTAGTAATAAAAAAATATACCCATCTGTCCCGCTGATACAGCATTAAGAAAGTATTCTCTTGGCTTCTACCATACCGCTCCTAAGCGGGCTCCCTGTGGACTGTTGCAGTGACAGGGAGACTGCGTGCCAAAGCAAAAGGTCACAGCAGAACTCAAAAAGTCCCCAAACCAGGCCAACTGTCGTGACTACGTCAGTGACGGGTACACATAGGTGCTTAAAATAACACATTAGGTTCAGCTTAGGGACGCTTAGAGGATGGACCGTTAAGGAGGTTAAAAAAAAAAAAAGGGAAATGTTTTTGTTAAAAACAAGTTGTTAAGATAGACACTAAATCAAAGTAACATCGATATGTTCTTCCATCTGTATGAATCCTGTGAATCAAAGTGTTGTGTGAGGACATGTATGGAGGACTTTGCTCTGTGTCATCTATTATTTTTTAGTGAGGTTCACACGTCTAAATCATGTCAAAGAACCGCAGGAAACGGAACATGAGGTTTTAAGGGTTTAAGCGGTAAATGCAGCAATCGTATAGCAAAACCTCATGAACTAAGGTCATACAGTCATCTGGATCGATGTTTATGTTCAGCTACTGAGAGGGAAAATCAGGTATATTAATACATACAGAGAGAATACAGAGTAAGTCTAAGTTTAGGGTCTAGGCAAGTCTACTGTGGTCAACTGAAGCTAAAGCTAACTAAAGAACATGTTGTATGTCATTTGTTTAATCCATACAATAACCCAAACGGGGTTTTTAGCCTGTATTGAATAGGTTGAGTGAGTTCAAGAATATGTAGGTATTTTCATAAATCATTATAACTATTTGTAGGCCAACTTTCCTAATACAGTTACAGAAAAAGGCCAAGATAATAAACACATACAGAAAAAGTTTTAGAATTGTAATATATATATATATATATATAAAATTGTTTAAACGTTAATGAATACACTTACCCTCTAGTAAATCTGATGCGGAGCCCAGGCAGTACTCCATCACCAGCTGAAACAGAATACAGTCACAGCTGAATAACTTTCCATTCACATGCGTGTGTCAAATATCCTTAATAAAAGCTTCAGGTCACGTCTGTGAATACTTCTAAAATTGTTCTCTAAAGCAAAGGGATCACATTGTGATGTCTGCAATGGAGGTGGTACTGATTAGGACAGTAGTAGGCAGTAGGAAAACACAGCTACTAGTAGGATATGAAAATAAATAAAAGACAAAGAGGCAAGAATTCAGACAAAGAGGACAGGAAGAAAAAGATAAACAAACCATGTTGCAAGACTGAAACAAAGAGTGGAACAAAGGGAGATGTGGACACGGATCCACTAACCCAGGCAGTGTTGTCTTTCAAGTAGCAGCCTTTGTACTCAATTGTGTTCGGGTGTCGCAGCTGTCCCAAAAACTTGACCTCCTTAATGATGTCCTGCCACTTCTGCCGAAAACAAAAATCAGACACACAGATGGTTTACGCACTGCAGGTACAATCACAAGTACACTTAAGTAGGAACTGCTGGGACTTTTGATTGCACCGGTGCAGCTGGCTTCACTGTAGTAACCACTTCAACAGGTATTGTGAACTTCATACATCTGTCACCATTGTGTATAGACAGACAGGAGGGGGTTGTTCAGTAGCCCTGCACAAAGATAAACGAGAAACACGGTAATAAAATGCTTAAATTGAAAGCTAGCTCTCAGGGGAGGAGGAGACGAAAGCCTCGGCTATAGTTAGGAACATTCTGACAAAGTCATGCAGGAGCCCTCACATAAAACCATCACTCAACGGATTATAAGAAGAAAGTTTACCAAACCACAGAGAAGTGGCCTCGAGTTTAAATGGAGAGTAAGCTGTGATCACATAGGACGCCTTCTCAAACATGCTGGTGCGCAAGTGCTTGAGGGAGGCCCATGTTTCTCCCAAACTTTGCATCTGGCGGTGAGTAATTATTTCTAACTATTGTCACATTCTTTTTGTTCCTTTAGGGTCACTAACCATCAAAAACAAGACATCTCACAGTCTCACGAGCTAGAGTCAAGCTTTGGGTGAATATGATTAGAGAGGGACTTTTAGCACTTGTTCTCACTGTTACTGGATTAGAGACAGTGAGAAATAAATGTCATCCGACTGTGTGGGCTGACCAAATGTGTGAGTGAGGTAGACTTCCTTACTTCGGTAGTCTGCTTGCCATTATAGGACATCTTTTTGATGGCCACCACCTCGTTGGAGTAGGAGTTACGTGCCTGGAGAAGAAAAACAGGGAGGTCAGATTGTGGTAGTTTTGTAAATTTGATGTATAAAAACGTACAGACAGACAACCCTCACAAATACACATGCAGTAATCCTCTCTCAAGACATCACAGGGCTCTCTTTTTTAGTCCCCTGGCAATTACACTCTATAAAAAGAATATGGCATGAATAAATGAGTAACTGACACACATTGATACAACACACTGGTTATAAAAGCTATTTAATTGCTGTATGCGACACGACTAGAACGATGCACATTCCTGAAAGATGTTAAATCTTTACATTAAGTTTCACACATTTTTACAAAAGCGCCACATGCGGTATTGTGCTATACTGAATACTAACAGGGTGACGCAGCAGGGAAGAGATTATTCAAATTGAAAAGGAATGATGGCTTTACTTTAACCTCCCTATTTAGCATTTATAAAAATGTAATAGAATTGTCATTCATTGTCTGTTTATGGGTGCTTACAGAAGGGGTTAAAGTTACTAAGAAATGCATAAATAAAAACTTATTTCTGTTTACACCCATGTTATAGTGAGTTATAAAGCATTTTTTTAAATGATACTTATGAATGCTAAATAGGGGGTTTAAAGCAAAGTGTTACTAACTCATGTATGCCTTAAGGGTGATCCAGATGTGAGCCGGTGCATGCAAAGCATCATAATGCCTGAGCGATGCAGCAGAAACAGATTCTCTCATTTGAATTTAAACACATTTCCGCCTGATCAAAGCACTCAACAACGTGATTAGGGGAAGCCTGCAGGTAAGTGATATGTGGTTGTTCTGCAGCTACTGTTGCTGCTAGAGTCGCCTGAGCACATCCACATGCCCACGCTAAACCCGTGGAGTTAACCTCAAAGGCATTTGGCCTTAGGAGCGGCAGCGCTGCAGCTCAGCCTAAGCTCTTATCTCCGCTTCATCCCACTTTCAAATGAATGGGAATTTCATGTTGAGATTCACATGGAATTACAGTAACAGCAGGCAACGGAGTATACCCATTTGGTTCTTCTTTTTTTTTTTCCAGATTCATCTGAAACTTATGATTGCCTGTCAGTTCATGCATAATAGTCATTCCCTCCGGTGTGATGTATAGATGGCTATAGAAGAGGGGGGAGAAAAAAATCATGTAACGCTTCAATATTGAAATGCATTCAGGCTAATTGTCATTGCAGAAGAAAGGGGATGCATCAATAATTACAAGAGGCCAATTCGTTCAACATGCACTATACAGTAGTGCTGTGTGTGTGCGTGTGTGTCTGCATACCCAGCATGGGGAATTTCCCCTTGTACTCTTCTATAATAGAGTTCCTCCTTAATGTTAACATGCATACACTGTGGGTGCACATACAACTCTATACATTTCATTGGCTGTGCATGCATATTCAATAATAAAACAAATGCACGCGTTTACAAAAAGGGCACACTGTGCCACTGTACCGTTCCCTTCTAACATGCATTTAACGAGCCGCTGTCATCTTTTATAGTTCTAGCGTTGCAAATATTTACTTCGTAAATGTTAGATAATACAACCAGATCAAAGTACTGTAAAAGCTCAGCATATCGTTGTCGTTTTGTTATACCAGCATGATAACCGATGTCATCACAAGGTGTTATTTCCTACATGTATGCTCGAATATTTGTGAGCAGATCAGTCCTTTCAGTATGTAAACTTTGAAGGAAATGTGTTTTATTTTCACTAAAGCTGCTCGGGCTAAGAGCTAAAGCTAATACCAGTTGTAATGCGGACAGCATAAGTGTGTCAGTGAGCACATCAGGGCAGGATTTAGAAGCACTCTGGAGCCTGTTAGCCAGACGGACATGGGAACCAGGTTTACTAGTGATGTACTGAGGCTGTGTGTGTGTGTGTGTGTGTGTGTGTGTGTGTGTACATGACATGGCAGGGGATGGTAAAACCCTGCCAGCCAAGAATATCCTGCCCCACTATGGACGGCCTCTGTTTTTCTATACCAAGAAAACAGCTGTCTTAGGAAGGAGGGAGGAGGCTTATCGCCCCCAGCCCTGCATCTGGAGGAGAGGAAATGACGAGACTGCAAAGAGACGCGATACATGTTCAACCCCTTTCTACACAGCTTTAGAATCAAAGGCTTGAGGAGTAATTAGTGATGATGAGATTAATAAGAAAGGCGACAGAGAAAGTGCGAAGAGGGAATCTGTCTCTACTTAACTGCATTCACTGAGCCGTAATGTAGCGGGCTACACTTATAACACGTGTACAAATCAATGAATCGATAAGGCGGGACCTTGCTCATAAATAAATCATAGCGATACTCGTGTATTAATAATCACCACGTAGTAAAGGTCTAAGAGTGCCTTGCTTAATGGTAGTAGTAAGTATATTAAATGGTTCAGCCCGACATTCACGCGCCGTCTTTCTTTCTACAATGAACTATGAAACTTAAGCTTAATTTATGATAAATTTCTCCACCAAATGTTTCAAGGTCCAGTCATATTCAATCGCTAAACTTTGTATGAACAGACTTGAAATAGTGCTGAATATGATTGTGTGAGAGATGGTCGATACAGAAGTCAAGGTCCAACAGAAACTTTTGTTATTCCAAGATCTTCATGTGAAACGTCTTGACAATGTGGCCATGTGGCATGCAGCTTTTCCTTCTATACACAATGTCCTCTATTGAGATTTGTTCAATATAGGACATTCACAGAGTGGTTCAATTCCAGCTTAGATGAGGTCTTTCATTCCGTGTTCAAAACTCTCTCAATAAACCTTCGCGGCTTGTGAAAAAGTACAGGAAATGGTGAAGTGGCACTTACGAAGTAGACGGCCCCGAAGCTGCCATGTCCGATCTCGTGCAGGTCACAGAAGACATCCTCGGGGTCATCTTTGAAGAAGAGGTCGGCCAGCTCGGGGTCCTTCGGCACTCCTTTCCGTGTGGACGACGGCATTATGGGCTGGACATGAGCTAGGCGCCGGGGACGACGCTCACATACACACTACTGCTGCTGCTGCCGCCACCAGATGTCCACGACGGGCCCGGCATTGACCAGCTAGACCTGGGAGACAAAACGGACATTTGTTGCCTTCAGGTTATAAAGATTCTCTTCAATTTAACACGAAAAGTAAAAACCTAAAGACATCACTTCCTGTGTGCAAGAGAATTTGGACCTGAACCAAATAAGCAAATATTGAAACTATTCAAACAGTGTGTAGAGTGATTTACTATTAATATAATCAGTATTATATGAATTGCTAAAGCATTACACTGACACACACACTACGCTGGTCACTGATACATGGAAACATCCAGACACTGTTTGATCTAATATTACTTCACAGCCCCTTTGAAGAATATCCACATTCATGTCCGTCTGCGTGTGTCTGTGTGCGCATGCCTTTCTATTGTGCACTTGCGAGGACACAAGACTGGAAAAAAAACAGTCATATGATGACGGCTAGCTGTCTGGTCCTGCTGCTCATCCAAGTCACAATCACACTTGCTCCCGTAAACGAGTGTGAGCACACACGCGCACAAACATGCACACAACACCCTTTACAGCTGAAGCTGAGTCACTGATGCATCATTTCCACACATGCACAAAGTGTAACAGTTGCCTGAGTGTGTGCAGACACACACACACGCACACACTAAATGTTTTGTATCACAAGGCTGCAGCCAGGCTGTGAAGCGTGTACGCATCCTGGACACCCTGCTCCAGTTAGCTTCGCTGCACATGCATCACACACACGTGCACACAGTCACACGCCATCTTTCTCTTTCTCTCTCTCTCCACCATGAAATCTGTGTGCACACCGGCCAGATGCAGCAAGCAAAATCTGGCTCCAAAGGCCAGCCCCACACAGAGGGAGCTGACGTACAGGCAGAGGCAGCAAGACACACAGGCGCACAGGCCAAGACACTAAGCATCAGCATCATCCTAATCCCCTGCTCTTAAAGGGTTCCAAGGCATCACACCCACTCCAAAAATATCAGTCTTAAAGGCAAAGTCCTGGGCCCTCTGTTCTATGGCTCCAGATGTAGAAACAACTTGGGGAGGGATTGCTTTAGGTAGGACTGTTGAATGACCCGATCATAAATTGTTCTCCAAATCTCAATGCGATGGTTATATTTTGATGCTAGTTATTTGTTACCCTGTGAAGTATAGAGAGGAGGAAATGGGCGATCATTTAACTTTGGAAAAAAACTGAAGCTTTGTGGTGGCTTTGAGGGGGTGATGAGCATCAAAGTTAGGACTATATAATCAGGGATTTATTTTCGAGGCATCGAGCCAACCTACTGCCAACTACAAAGCTGCCATAACATAACATCCCAGCATTGAGAAAGGCGGCCCGCTGTACTGTAGCCTGACTAAAGTCAATTTCATGGCTTTGATTCCTCTCTAAGAATGCCCCAGCACAAGCTTGGAAATGGAAATCACCACGGGTTGCCACGTAAACAACAGCCATGGTTTCAGTTTACCCGCTTACATAATGTGAAAGATCACATATACAGGCTCACATGCTTGTTGCCTGAAGGCGTCTCTTGATCGCCAAGGCATTTTTGAGAAGCATGATGGCTTCAGCCGAGACCTCCGCGCCTGTGATAGCGGCGTGACGGATGAACTGTAGAGTACAGCAGAGCAATGCAGCGGCATGCATACAACCTGTAGGTTGCAGATATTTGTGTATGCTAACTTCACGGTTACCAGCAGTTCAATGAAAACCACTTAGTTACACTGCTACTAAGTATTCTTCTCTGGGCTTGAAGGCCCTTCATTAGATGCGTCGTGTAATTCTTGTTCTTCAGATCAATGAACTCTTTTAGCACTAAAAGTTTGTTTAGTAGCAAAGCACCAATGTACTTCACCTTTAAGAAAAACAAGCAGCGTCTCCATTTGTATGCGTGTGTGTTTAAGTGTACATCTTTGTGTATTACTTGTGGTTGTGCGTGTGTTGTTTGTCTGTTTACCGACAATACGAGCTTGTGTGCGACCACGTGTGTTCAGTGGACCTGTGTGTGTGTCTCCGGGTTGCATCAGTGCTGTCTGTCTCTAATCTCTCCAGATAGCTACTGAAATAAAGCCCGACACAACCCACTCCCTATCAATAACACACCCCCACAGCGCGCACACACCCCCACAGCGCGCACACACCCCCACAGCGCGCACACACCCCCACAGCGCGCACACACCCCCACAGCGCGCACACACCCCCACAGCGCGCACACACACACACACACACACACACTCTCTGATGTCACGTGAACACTCTGCACACCTCCCTCTCATCCTCTCTTTCACTCTTCCTCCTCCTCCTCCGCTAAGATGTGTGAAGTGATGCAATGTGGCAACAACAGGTTGTAACACGGGGGGCTTGGTAAAGCTGCCACTAGTCCAGCAAAGCCCTGTGTTTGGACAGACCACTGTGTGTGTGTGTGCGTCTGTGGTTACTGGGGATCTATGAATGGTATTGTGCTGAGAGAGAGCTGATTAGGCAAATGGCTTAGACAGATTTAACGCTCAGAGTGTGTGTGCGTGCGTGCGTGTGTGAATTCTTTACTAGACGCTGCTACACGCGACTGCGTGACACTGTACTTATGTGTAGGTGTGCATTAGTGTGCCTTGCATGCACACACCGGTGAGCACATGAGACGGTGTGTGTGTGTGTGTGTGTGGTACTGTGGGGGTGGGTAACGGTGCTAAAAGATTTGTTGTATACAATACATCATTAAAGAAATTATATGTGAAAGAGATTATACGGTTTACGATAATCTGGCCTGGGTTACGCACACGACAACTACATACGTTTACACTGCACGACGCTTAACACTTTAATAACAGACCTATATTGTTTTTTTATTATATTCTATTGTACATTTTTAGATTTGCATTTTTAATTATGTCTTATACTATTGCACTGTTAATCGTCACGCACCAATCACCAATTCAGAATCCTTGTATGTGCAAACACATTTGGCAATAAACCGTTTCTGATTCTGAAACATCCGACATAAACGGATTTTTAAGGACAATTAAACAGATTTTTTTGATAGCTAATATCTAAAAGCTTTGATACGTTATCGCTCAAGACATTTTAGAGATAAACGTTTTTTGTAAGTTTTCCTGTACATTTTATTCTGGCAGCGTTGGAATAACGCTGCCCCCAGGGCCCCCGTTGGTTCTGCGATGACTAATTGATGTCCCAACATGTGTTGCAGGACCAAGTCCATCAGGCTGCTGGATCTGGCTCTACACCATGTGCTGCAACAGAGATAGCTAAATGGGACATCCCACTGTCTACTCTTGGCCAATAATATGCAAGAATAATAAATATACACCGTAAAAAAAAAATGTTCCAGAAATGTAAACTTCATTGCCGATAGTGATGCGTTCGAAATGCATTGAGAAGGAAGAAGGACATTGCTTCAGAAGGAGCCACAGTCTGTTAGAATGAAACTCAACATTTTGATCAGAATCCAGGTCAAACACGACTTGCAACAAAAAATAATAATATAATAATAACAATAACCCACTGGTCTGTTTCCTGTATAATTCAAGCATTTCAAAACAATTCAAAGTCTCCGTTTTTAATTAATTTCAGGTGCGGTAAAATATTATGAAGATTCAGAAGAAAAAAATTAAAGTTCTTGCAAATAGTGCAAGAACAGAGGAATTACCAGATCTAACTCATACAAGACAGAAAAGAGGACTATGTCAGATGACATTATTGTATATTTGCCTTGGTGGAGTAAATGGATGCATGAAAACGTGTTGGGATGAGTTTGATATAAACTGTGTGGATTCATCTCATTCTCCCTCCTATCTTATCCTACACCAGCTCCTTCTTAACTCCTTCATTGCGAGAACGCTTCCCTTTGATCATTGGGTTTTAAAAAGAAAAGCTTTGACAAGGAAGAAAATGTGATTTTCTTATCATTCGTTTCGCACTCAGTCTCCTGGGTTTGCCCGTATTCTGTCTAAACTCTTGTGAGAGTGCAAGTGAAGTGCATTCTTCTGTATTTGCACCATTACACCAGTGCACACAAGCGTCCGTGTGTGTGTGTGTGTGTGTGTATGGCCGAGGGGGGGTTTAGCGGCTTACTGGCCCCCCTACTGGCTTTAGGCAGGAACAGGAATTAGGCAGACTGTGGGAATTCTTACTGGGATTAAAATCACCAGCTCTAATCAGAAAAAAAAAGAAATGTTAAATCTGCTAAATTGTGCGTTGAGACATAGAGAGGGCAGTATGTGCGGAAGAATAAGAATTACGTAATGATTCAGCTCCATCATGACATTATAGAGAGAGCAGGCTCAGAGCTTTGGAGTTGTGTGTGAAGGTGCACATGTATGTAGAAGTGAGCAAGGAAGCCTGGATTATACACACACACACACACACACACACACACACACACACACACACACACA